AAAGGAAAGTTTCAAACGAGGATTGAATCCGATAACCACCAGAACAACTTCTCAAGTTCGAACCCAAACCCTGATAAACTTTTGACCCACTAAATATCAGACCGGGAATTGATTATCATAACTATAATAAACAATTAAGTCCACAGCGAAAAATAATGTAAGAAAAGTTTAATGAAAAGTGAAAAGAAGCTAGTAAAAGAGTCTGCTGTGTAAATCATTAACCACAAAAGATTCAGAGTCCTCAGCATCTGGATGAAAATTGCACAAGAATATTATAATAAAACACGATAACTGAGGCCCCACGTTGGGCGCTAAAAATCTCTGTAACGATTCTCTCATAAGGTGGTTTGTTTGTGAGAACGATGCTACCTAATATTACGGCCGTGCTCGTCGGTGCGGGGGTGAGGTGTGTTCTCATATAAAAAAAAAAATACTATAAATGAATCAATTACATAGACTTTACTTTAGGTAGCTACTTAAATAAATGATCCACAAAGACAAGAGATGAAGAAGATGCGGTAAAGGTATTAGTGTAGCTGTTGATGGTATTTGCTACACTCTTCCAAAGCCCTCCCTCCATGCTGACAAATATTAGAGTTGATTGTCAGCCCAATAAAAATAAACAAAAAAAAATAACTAAATCAACCTAACCCATACCCTTGACTTAACTTTTCATGATAATAAACAAAATTTATGATTTCATATTGAATATTATAATTATATATTGTAATATTTATTAAAATTAAATTATGATAATAATTAAGTAAAGTTAAAGTTAAATGAATTAGTTTAATTAAATTTTATTACATACATATATGTATTTAAAAAAATCAAAGGTGGTCACCTTAATTTAGGCAAATGGAAATTTTATATTGAAATTTTATTCAAAAGAAATTATTTAAGAAAATATCATGATATAAGGTGACTTTGTATTCAAAATTTCATTAAATTATCAAATTTAGGGATTTTGTAATAAAAATAATATGAACAACTAATATATTAAATTTAAAATAAATGAACTATAAATTAATGTACAATGACAACTCTGGTTGCAAAATGAAAGTTTAATATAATGTTAATTTTGTTCATATTACTTTATAAGTATGTATATGTATGTGTATTTAAAATTGAGAGTGGATTTAAAATGGCTGATAATGAAACAATAAAATCAAAATCCAACTTACATTTGTTTATTATCCATCGATGTCAGCAGGCGCCGGATGACAGGTGACGGTTTATTATAACACTCACAATTATTATAGTTTTTATGAGTTGGGATAGTATTATATCGATAATTATGTATGGATTGTATCAAAATTGAAGTGTTTATTAACTATTTAAGATACAATCCATATTATAGGTAATGAATTGTGATTAGGTGTTGGAATTGACTAAGTGTTTTAAGTGTAATTTTAGTGTAGCATATTTTTAGGATTTACATTAATTTATATAAACATTAATTAAGGTGACCGTATGAATTCAACTAATTAACTTGACAAAATAAGTAATTTATAACAAAATTTGATTAAATTTCAAAATATGATCCAAAATTGGTTTTAAAATAAAGATTTTCGAAATTTAAAGTAATTTAAGTTAAGTGAAATTTCATGCAAAATCAATGAATAGCCGAATTCAGATTTAAAAGTAAATTATAATATTGAAATTTTGGATCAGGATTGAAAACAATAAGCGATTATTGATTTACGTAAGTGAAAATACAAAAACTGAATTGAAGTTTTGATCAATTATAAAGCAATTTGGATGGTAATTGGATAATTCACCAAACAGATCTTCGGAAGCAGTTTCAATGAAAATATTTAAAGATCTGGTCACCTTATATGTAGATTGTCCTGGGGTTTGTATCTTCCCTTATAGGGAAGACGTAATTTAAAAATTATGCACAACAATCGCTGCAATATTCAAACCAATTGCCAATCTTGACCTTCCCTTCCTTCAAACTAGTTTTATTCTAAAATTTTTGGTCTTGAAGTGATTTCAATTTTTCAACAATTGTTTGATACAACGAAATGCAGTCAATGTCTCTCCAATAAACGAAACAAGATCTTAAGAATCTATGATAAAATTTGCCCCAAATATTCCGATAGTTTTTGGCTTTGTTCTTTTTTTTTTTTATAATTGAATAAATAATTTTAATAAAATTACAGACGTTAGTGACTATTCAAACTATTCAATTCAACAAACTTTTTCAAATGAATCTAAAAAAAATATTTTTTTTTTTCTGAAGAATATTTAGAAATTAAAATTTCATGGCTAACTAAAAAAAAAAACAAAGAAATCAAAATAAATAAAATTCAGTATTCTCATTCAAGGTTAATTATACTAAAACCAACGCAGACACCCTCACAACTGTAGACTAAACTGTAGAGTAGACTATAGATTAGACTATGGACTAGACCATAGACTAGACTATAGACTAGACTATAGACTAGACTATAGACTAGATTATAGACTAGACTATAGACTAGACTATAGACTAGACTATAGACTAGACTATAGACTAGACTATAGTCTATAGTCTAGACTATAGACTACACTATAGACTACACTATAGACTAGACTATAGACTAGACTATAGACTAGACTATAGACTAGACTATAAACTAGACTATAGACTAGACTATAGACTAGACTATAAACTAGTCTATATACTAGACTATAGATTAGACTATAGATTAGACTATAGATTAGACTATAGACTAGACTATAGACTAGACTGTAGACTAGACTAAACTATAGACTAGACTTTATCCTAGGCAACAGCTTTCCTTTAATTTATTTAGTAATTTCTTCACTTTTTAAATAAAACTAATTAATATTAAACAAACGTCTCAAAAGTTTTATAAAATTTCCCCAGAATTTTTTATTTTTAATACAACTCATTAAAATAAATATATGCATAAGCTACATATCTATCTCTTTTACTCTTTCCTCATTATTCCTTGTTAATTAACCTAAACCTAAACAAATTTCCCTTGAAAACTCGCGTCTATTTTTGTTTATTTTCTTTGTCTAAAGAGTTTGAATATTTAGAAAAAATCACATATTCTTTAAAACACATTTTTAGATAATTAAAAATTGCTGCCACATGTGCGAAATTTACACAAACTTTCTCATGTCATGCTCATTAAATGTCACGCGAGAATATTGTTTTTTGGTTTTACAGCTTGATTTTCCAAAATAAAGGCTGGAGAAAAAATTATATTTAAAGGCTTTTGCTCAATATAAACAGGAATTAAAAGGAATTTAAAATACATTTACAGGACTCAAACGCTCTTACCAAACCCACTATACATGTACACATCATTATAATAATGTTAACGACATTACATTTTAACAAATTTAAATATTAAAAAAAAATAAATGAAATAAAAACATTAATAAAAAAATACAAAATACTTTAAACCAAATGTCTAGGTATTACTTTTTATAGCTTAATCATGTTATACAGTCCTCTTCTGTATGCAAGAGTTTGAATAAATGATTATGGGATTTTATATAATGACGATGCGATGTCAATATATTATTTTAATTATAAAGTAATTAAAAGTTATATAAAATAAACACATTTGTGGAACAAATAAAACAACAAAAACCAATAATGTTATTGCATATAGAAAAATATGTTGTTCACATATTAAACTAATGATATTTTAAAGTTTATTTTAAAAAGAAAAAAACTGACAAAATTTAAAAATGTTGCAAATATTTAAAAAAATTAAAAAAAAAATATTTAAAAAATTTTTAAAAAAGAGAAGAGAAATTCGAATGCTACACAAAAGTAAGATAAGATAGATAGATAGATAGATAGATAGATAGATAGATAGATAGATAGATAGATAGATAGATAGATAGATAGATAGATAGATAGATAGATAGATAGATAGATAGATAGATAGATAGATAGATAGATAGATAGATAGATAGATAGATAGATAGATAGATAGATAGATAGATAGATAGATAGATAGATAGATAGATAGATAGATAGATAGATAGATAGATAGATAGATAGATAGATAGATAGATAGATAGATAGATAGATAGATAGATAGATAGATAGATAGATAGATAGATAGATAGATAGATAGATAGATAGATAGATAGATAGATAGCTAGATAGATAGATAGATAGATAGATAGATAGATAGATAGATAGATAGATAGATAGATAGATAGATAGATAGATAGATAGATAGATAGATAGATAGATAGATAGATAGATAGATAGATCGATAGATAGATAGATAGATAGAATAGATAGCTAGATGATAGATAGATAGATATAGATAGATAGATAGATGATAATAGATAGATAGATAGATTAGATAGTGATAGATAGATAGATAGATGATAGATAGATAGACTAGCTAGATAGATAGATAGATGATAGATAGATAGATAGATAGATAGGATAGATAGATAGATAGATAGATAGATAGATAGATAGATAGATAGATAGAATAGATTAGATCGATAGATAGATAGATAGATAGCTAAAACAACCTTATACTAATGAATAGCAATTCCTTACTTTGAGCTGACTATTATAAAAATAATTGAAAAATTAAATTGACAATTCTTTATACCCACATTATGGTTTTCCACAGCAACTAACAGATACTTTGGATTTAAAATTATTATTTGATTTTATTTTACTTCTATTTTTATCTTTTCTTCTTAATGATTATAAGGTTTCAATAAAATAGATAAAATATTTCTAATGAAATATATGTATGTAGTATATAAGTTGCTTTCCATGTATGTAACTACAATAGTGTTTATTTATGATGAAAACTAAGTATTGTTGCTTAATTAGCACAATTTATTTGTATACAATTTGTGTACAATGATATCAGTAAAAATGTATCGTATGTATGTATGTAAGTTGCTGTTAGTATTCTATAGATAAATATTTATGTGTGCAACTTTGAATAGAGAAAATATAGAAGAAAGTTAAATAGAGAAGTTGTTTGTAATGAATGTTTGTTAGAAAACAAGTAAGTAGGTAAAAGTTTTATGTGTATGTGTTAGATAAGGTAAAAGTAAAATATATTTTCTTTTAAATATACACATACACGTTCATAACTTTCATACATTCATAAATATTATTAGATTGAACGTACAGGAAACGGAACATACATATAAATATTGTAAGTAATATGAAACTAAAAGAGAATACTAATACATATTCATTTCTAGAAACACAACATATATAAACCAGCAGAGACAAGCAGAGAATATTAGAGAAACACAGTTCTACATATACAAAGTTATTACATAAAATTTTGAGTATCCATAAATGATTAGTATCTGTACTGTGTGTGTTAGAGGTCGTAATGATAACTTTAAGTCTTAAAATAATAAAGAAAAGAGGTTAATTATAAATTTTATGATGATAGACTATTAAATTTAGTAATTATATAGTTTTTTCTGAATTTGTAACATTTGGTACTACGGTCGTATGATTAATATTAATTAAAGGCACAATTCGCAAATCTTTAATAATTCTCAAACTATTTAAGATATGAAGAAATTTTAAAAAATTTATTTTTTTTCAATTCAAGATTACATACATATTTAACAATAGACTATACTATAGACTAGACTATAGACTAGATTATAGACTAGATTATAGACTAGACTATAGACTAGACTATAGACTGGACTATAGACTCGACTATAGACTAGACTATAGACTAGACTATAGACTAGACTATACACTAGACTATAGACTATATACTAGACTATATACTAGACTATAGACTAGACTATAGACTAGACTATACACTAGACTATAGACTATATACTAGACTATACACTCGACTATAGACTAGACTATAGACTATACTATAGACTATAGACTGGACTATAGACTAGACTATAGACTAGACTATAGACTAGACTATAGACTAGACTATAGACTAGACTATAGACTAGACTATAGACTAGACTATAGACTAGACTATAGACTCGACTATAGACTAGACTATAGACTAGACTATAAACTAGACTATAGACTAGACTATAGACTAGACTATAGAATAGACTATAAACTAGACTATAGACTAGACTATAGACTAGACTATAGACTAGACAATAGACTAGACTATAGACTAGACTATAGACTAGACTATAGACTAGACTATAGACTAGACTATAGACTAGACTATAGACTAGAATATAGACTAGACCATAGACTAGACTGTAGACTAAACTATAGACTAGACTATAGACTAGACTATAGACTAGACTATCTAGAGACTAGACTATAGACTAGACTATAGACTAGACTATAGACTAGACTATAGACTAGACTATAGACTAGACTATAGACTAGACTATAGACCTAGACTATAGACTAGACTATAGACTAGACTATAGACTAGACATAGACTAGACTAATAGACATAGACTATAGACTAGACTATAGACTAGACTTTAGACTAGACTATAGACTAGACTATAGACCTAGACTATAGACTAGACTTTAGACTAGACTATAGACTAGAACTATAGACTAGACTATAGACTAGACTATAGACTAGACTATAGAACTATAGACTATAGACTAGACTATAGACTAGACTATAGACAGACTATAGACTAGACTATAGACTAGACTATAGACTAGACTATAGACTAGACTATAGACTAGACTAATAGACTAGACAATAGACTAGACAATAGACTAGACTATAGACTAGACTATAGACTAGACTATAGACTAGACTATAGACTAGACTAGACTAGACTATATACTAGACTATAGACTATAGACAAGACTATAGGACTAGACTATAGACTAGACTATAGACTAGACTATAGACTAGACTATAGACTAGACTATAGACTAGACTATAGACTAGACTATAGACTAGACTATAGACTAGACTATAGACTAGACTATAGACTAGACTATAGACTAGACTATAGACTAGACTATAGACTAGACTATGACTAGACTATAGACTAGACTGTAGACTAGACTATAGACTAGACTATAGACTGACTATAGATTACTCTATATACTATACTATTTACTGTACTAAAGGCTACGCTATATACTAGACTATAGGCTAAACTATGGCCTAGGCTATATAATAGCCCAGATAAATACCAGACTTAAGTCTTTGTAAGCGATGCAGCAGTTTTTAAATTTTAAAGCAGTAAATTTAAATCTATATACTCTAGAGCGTATGATTAATATTAATTAACAATTTAATTTGGAAAATCGTGATTTACCCAAAACTAATAATGATACAAACAAATAAAAAAACTTTTTTAGATTAGAAACAAATTAAGGTGTATATTTGACCTTGAACTCAACTTTTCTTTTTCAAATTTTTAGAAAACTTTATAATGAAACTTTTTCGGTTTCTTTTTCTTTTGTCATTCTCAACAGGGTTTTACCATACTCTTTTGTTTTATACTAAAACCTGAATGTTCTTTACGAGGTCAGCGTGGCGCTGCCACCCACTTCTCCTCAGCCATGGGTGATAGTATAAAAAAGAAATTAAGTTCCAGTAAAACAAGTTTAGATGATAATTACTGTACAGGGTCCATAAATGCACCAATAAATTGTAAGTTTAAGTTAAAGCTAAGAAAATGGAAAATAAAAAAAATTAATTAATATTTTAATTTACACTTTAGTTTATACCAACCATGAAAAAGAGTCGGAAAGTTGTAATGCTGCTCCGCCCCTGATGCATAAAACACCACCTTCACCGGCTCGTCAGCATTTAGAAATGTCTGCTGCCTCTTGTCAAATGCCGGGCTTAACCATAATCTCAACAGCTCCGCGTTGTCAAATGTTACCTTTGTTGGCGGCAGGAACAACAGCACAACAGGAACACGTGGCTAGTGTGGAAACATTTATAGGTGCTGGAGCGGGTGCAGCAGGTAGCAACTCCACCTTAGAACGTAAAACGGCACAACATTTAGCTTGTATGCAGCAGCAGCAACAACATCAACATATAAACTCCTCCAACTCACCAGCCTCTAGATGTTGCAATATATTAAGTGGTGTTAGCTCCAGCTTAGCAGGCGGTGGGGGAGTTGTTAGTAATATGTCACAACAACCACATCATCAGCTTACCGGTATGCCTCAAGTTGTTTCTGGCAGCTCAGTGGGTTATTATGATGCATTTGGTGCGACATCTGCTGCAACAATGAATATGCAAGCAACACCCACACCAACACCCACTTTAAATATGACTGGCAGTTTAGGTCGTAGAACTCATTTGACTTCAACACATCATCAACACCAACAACAACAGCAGCAGCCGGCATTAACACATGAATTTGTGGGTGTTGAAACCTTAGACATATTACAAGGTGTAGCACCGGGTAAGTAGTAATTTTATACTCGACAATAAACTTTACAACTTTAGACATACAATCCCAAATACTCTGTTTTTAACTTGAACGTCTTAGAGAAATTTGCTCAAAACATTAATGAAACTGTCAGTCAGTCAGTCAAATTTCTTTGTAACACACTGGTCAACATAAAATCAGACAAATTGCTAAAGTTTTTACAACAAAAGCCATTTACCTTTACAGCCCTTCAAATAATCATGATTAAGTGTAAAAGTCATTCAAAGTGTTAGTTAAAGGTTCGGTGGACAAGGTAAAGCGCCAAAAAATAACCACGTTAAAAGAGAGAGTGAGACAAACCTTAACATTTCTTTGAAGTCTTTAAGTATTACTAGGAGTATAATACCTCTGTTATAGGTGCCACACAATACAACCATAATTATCAGTTTTATAACAGTTATATGCCACTTATACTTTGCAACACTTTATAGTATTTGAATACGAGTAAGTACAATATAGGGAAAGGAGGAGAAAATGTCTGCCATAAAGACAACAGAAACTTATAGTAGGGGTGAAGGTAAGAAGGGCGTTGTTGATGTGGTTTACTTGGTTTGTTTGGTTACCTTTTACCAACAAAAACATTCATAACTAAGTAATTTCCTGAAGGGAATTATAAATAACAGTGAGAGACAAAAATGGCAGTTCTAGTTCAGTTTTAGTTCAGTTCTAGTTCTAGTTCTGTTCTAGTTCAGTTCTAGTTCAGTTCTAGTTCTAGTTCAGTTCTAGTTCAGTTCTAGTTCAGTTCTAGTTCAGTTCTAGTTCAGTTCTAGTTCAGTTCTAGTTCAGTTCTAGTTCAGTTCTAGTTCAGTTCTAGTTCAGTTCTAGTTCAATTCTAGTTCAGTTCTAGTTCAGTTCTAGTTCAGTTCTAGTCAGTTCAGTTCTAGTTCAGTTCTAGTTCAGTTCTAGTTCAGTTCTAGTTCAGTTCTAGTTCAGTTCTAGTTCTAGTTCAGTTCTAGTTCAGTTCTAGTTCAGTTCTAGTTCAGTTCTAGTTCAGTTCTAGTCTTCTAGTTCAGTCTAGTTCAGTTCTAGTTCAGTTCTAGTTCAGTTCTAGTTCAGTTCTAGTTCAGTTCTAGTTCTGTTCTAGATCTGTTCTAGTTCTGTTCTAGTTCTGTTCTAGTTCTGTTTCTGTTCTAGTTCTGTTCTAGTTCTGTTTCTAGTTCTGTTCTAGTTCTGTTCTAGTTCTGTTCTAGTTCTGTTCTAGTTCTGTTCTAGTTTGTTCTAGTTCTGTTCTAGTTCTGTTCTAGTTCTGTTCTAGTTCTGTTCTAGTTCTGTTCTAGTTCTGTTCTAGTTCTGTTCTAGTTCAGTTCTAGTTCAGTTATAGTTCAGTTCTAGTTCAGTTCAGTTCTAGTCAGTTCTAGTTCAGTTCTAGTTCAGTTCTAGTTCTAGTTCTGTTCTAGTCTGTTCTAGTTCAGTTCTAGTTCAGTTTAGTTCAGTTTTAGTTCAGTTCTAGTTCAGTTCTAGTTCTGTTCTAGTTCTGTTCTAGTTGTTCTGTTCTGTTCTAGTTCTGTTCTAGTTCTGTTCTAGTTCTGTTTAGTTCTGTTCTAGTCTGTTCTAGTTCTGTTCTAGTTCTGTTCTAGTTCTGTTCTAGTTCTGTTCAGTTTGTTCTAGTTCTGTTCTAGTTCTGTTCTAGTTCTGTTCTAGTTTCTGTTCTAGTTCTGTTCTAGTTCTGTTCTAGTCTGTTCTAGTTCTGTTCTAGTTCTGTTCTAGTTCTGTTCTAGTTCTGTTCTAGTTCTGTTCTAGTTCTGTTCTAGTTCTGTTCTAGTTCTGTTCTAGTTCTGTTCTAGTTCTGTTCTAGTTCTGTTCTAGTTCTGTTCTAGTTCTGTTCTAATTCTGTTCTAATTCTGTTCTAGTTCTGTTCTAATTCTGTTCTAGTTCTGTTCTGTTCTAGTTCTGTTCTAGTTCTGTTCTGTTCTAGTTCTGTTCTAGTTCTGTTCTAGTTCTGTTCTAGTTCTGTTCTAGTTCTGTTCTAGTTCTGTTCTAGTTCAGTTCTAGTTCAGTTCTAGTTCAGTTCTAGTTCAGTTCTAGTTCAGTTCTAGTTCAGTTCTAGTTCAGTTCTAGTTCAGTTCTAGTTCAGTTCTAGTTCAGTTCTAGTTCAGTTCTAGTTCAGTTCTAGTTCAGTTCTAGTTCTAGTTCAGTTCTAGTTCAGTTCTAGTTCAGTTCTAGTTCAGTTCTAGTTCAGTTCTAGTTCAGTTCTAGTTCAGTTCTAGTTCAGTTCTAGTTCAGTTCTAGTTCAGTTCTAGTTCAGTTCTAGTTCAGTTCTAGTTCAGTTCTAGTTCAGTTCTAGATCAGTTCTAGTTCAGTTCTAGTTCAGTTCTAATTCAGTTCTAATTCAGTTCTAGTTCAGTTCTAGTTCAGTTCTAGTTCAGTTCTAGTTCAGTTCTAGTTCAGTTCTAATTCAGTTCTAATTCAGTTTTAGTTCAGTTTTAGTTCAGTTCTAGTTCAGTTCAGTTCAGTTCTAGTTCAGTTCTAGTTCAGTTCTAGTTCAGTTCTAGTTCAGTTCTAGTTCAGTTCTAGTTCAGTTCTAGTTCAGTTCTAGTTCAGTTCTAGTTCAGTTCTAGTTCAGTTCTAGTTCAGTTCTAGTTCAGTTCTAGTTCAGTTCTAGTTCAGTTCTAGTTCAGTTCTAGTTCAGTTCTAGTTCAGTTCTAGTTCAGTTCTAGTTCAGTTCTAGTTCAGTTCTAGTTCAGTTCTAGTTCAGTTCTAGTTCAGTTCTAGTTCAGTTCTAGTTCAGTTCTAGTTCAGTTCTAGTTCAGTTCTAGTTCAGTTCTAGTTCAGTTCTAGTTCAGTTCTAGTTCAGTTCTAGTTCAGTTCTAGTTCAGTTCTAGTTCAGTTCTAGTTCAGTTCTAGTTCAGTTCTAGTTCAGTTCTAGTTCAGTTCTAGTTCAGTTCTAGTTCAGTTCTAGTTCAGTTCTAGTTCAGTTCTAGTTCAGTTCTAGTTCAGTTCTAGTTCAGTTCTAGTTCAGTTCTAGTTCAGTTCTAGTTCAGTTCTAGTTCTGTTCTAGTTCAGTTCTAGTTCAGTTTTAGTTCAGTTCTAGTTCAGTTCTAGTTAATTTCCAGTTCAGTTCTAGTTCAGTTTAGTTCAGTTCTAGTTCAGTTCTAGTTCAGTTCTAGTTCAGTTCTAGTTCAGTTCTAGTTCAGTTCTAGTTCAGTTCTAGTTCAGTTCTAGTTCAGTTCTAGTTCAGTTCTAGTTCAGTTCTAGTTCATTTCCAGTTCAGTTCTAGTTCAGTTTTCTTCTAGTTCTAGACAATCGACTAAATACTAAACTATATACTAGACTATAGACTATACTATAGACTGGAATATTGACTAGACTATAGACTAGACTGTAGACACAGTTATTGTCTAGACTATGGACTAAACTATAGACTAGACTATAGAGTCTATAGTATATACTAAAACTAGACTATGGACTAAAGATTGTTTCGCTACTGTTAATTAACTATGTATAACTGTTTGAACTGATTCGTTGTTAGTTTGTTCGTTAGTTTTATCTTCTTATACAATTTATATTATCTATTTCCTTTCCCAGTTATTTTTTCCAAATAGTTATTTGGGTGACTTAACAGGAAATATGTATATAACTAAGGTGCTTAAGTTTTTGGGGTCTTTTGGTAACAACAACACAACAAAAGAACTTACTTTTTCAGCACACCACTTTTTCCCTCTCCTTAAGCAAAACTAAAAACTGCTAGCTAAACATTTCTGCTCTTGTTAAACATATAACAATAACAACAAATAATAAAGACAATATTTTGTTTAGAATATCAACTAGGGACTAGCCTAATGTTGTCAATGTTTAACAATATTTTGTTGTGCTGTATTTTACTTGCTTACTTACTACTTCAAACAAGTCTGAAACACAAAATATCCTTAATACAATAACAACAAATTGTATATCCTTGTCTAGTAACTACAATAAAGTAATAACAAAAAAAGGAACTAAACTTTAATGTTTATAATATTTTTAGCCATAGTTGTAGTTGTAGTTTTTTTATATTTTGTTTTCGGTTTAAACAAACAGCCGCTTTGGGCTGGTTGTTAAATATTTAATCTGTTTTCTTTTGAATCCTAAGCAGCAGAAAATTTGCAGCAACATTGAGGCTAAAACGGTTTTTGGCCAAATATTTGGCAGGAGAGTACTGTCTTGTTTGTTATTGGAATTAAGTAATTTAAATTTCTAAATGCATGTTGTATGAGTACTATAAGTAGTTGAGGTTTAGAGGAAAATAAATACATACCTACTTCAAAAATGGTATAAAGAAAGAGCGATAGATAAGCTCTTCAAATACATAAACAAATAATGAGAATTTTAGAACAAGGAAAGGGTTCATTGTTTGACAACCGTCTGGAGTAGTATTTAAAGTTATAGAAGTACATATTAGATAACTCTAACATTATTTGAAATGGACATTATATAAATATTTAACTCTATCATTAACTTATATAACTAGTCATTAGTCTAGTCTATAGTCTAGTCTATAGTCTAGTCTATAGTCTAGTCTATAGTCTAGTCTATAGTCTAGTCTATAGTCTAGTCTATAGTCTAGTCTATAGTCTAGTCTATAGTCTAGTCTATAGTCTAGTCTATAGTCTAGTCTATAGTCTAGTCTATAGTCTAGTCTATAGTCTAGTCTATAGTCTAGTCTATAGTCTAGTCTATAGTCTAGTCTATAGTCTAGTCTATAGTCTAGTCTATAGTCTAGTCTATAGTCTAGTCTATAGTCTAGTCTATAGTCTAGTCTATAGTCTAGTCTATAGTCTAGTCTATAGTCTAGTCTATAGTCTAGTCTATAGTCTAGTCTATAGTCTAGTCTATAGTCTAGTCTATAGTCTAGTCTATAGTCTAGTCTATAGTCTAGTCTATAGTCTAGTCTATAGTCTAGTCTATAGTCTAGTCTATAGTCTAGTCTATAGTCTAGTCTATAGTCTAGTCTATAGTCTAGTCTATAGTCTAGTCTATAGTCTAGTCTATAGTCTAGTCTATAGTCTAGTCTATAGTCTAGTCTATAGTCTAGTCTATAGTCTAGTCTATAGTCTAGTCTATAGTCTAGTCTATAGTCTAGTCTATAGTCTAGTCTATAGTCTAGTCTATAGTCTAGTCTATAGTCTAGTCTATAGTCTAGTCTATAGTCTAGTCTATAGTCTAGTCTATAGTCTAGTCTATAGTCTAGTCTATAGTCTAGTCTATAGTCTAGTCTATAGTCTAGTCTATAGTCTAGTCTATAGTCTAGTCTATAGTCTAGTCTATAGTCTAGTCTATAGTCTAGTCTATAGTCTAGTCTATAGTCTAGTCTATAGTCTAGTCTATAGTCTAGTCTATAGTCTAGTCTATAGTCTAGTCTATAGTCTAGTCTATAGTCTAGTCTATAGTCTAGACTATAGTCTAGTCTATAGTCTAGTCTATAGTCTATTCTATAGTCTAGTCTATAGTCTAGTCTATAGTCTAGTCTATAGTCTAGTCTATAGTCTAGTCTATAGTCTAGTCTATAGTCTAGTCTATAGTCTAGTTTATAGTCTAGTCTATAGTCTAGTCTATAGTCTAGTCTATAGTCTAGTCTATAGTCTAGTCTATAGTCTAGTCTATAATCTAGTCTATAGTCTAGTCTAGTCTATAGTCTAGTCTACAGTCTAGTCTATAGTCTAGTCTATAGTCTAGTCTGTAGTCTAGTCTATAGTCTAGTCTATAGTCTATTCTATAGTCTTGCTTATAGTCTCATGCATATTATAGTCCATGGTCTAGTCTATAGTTTTGTAAGCATCCTGAAATAAAATTTATTGATTTCCTTCTCTCATTACAGACACCCTCATTGGGATACGTTCCTCTGTGAATCCCGTCAGCATATGCTCTTCCATGTCATCATATCATCCTACTAGCGGAGTGCACTATACTAGTGCAGCTCCTGGCTCTTATATAAATACAGTAGCACACCACCAGCACAAGGCCAATTACTACCAGCTGGAGCCATTGTTTCGATAAGTAGTCTAACCAATACAGCTGCCCCAACAGGAACAATAATTATACAATACCAGCGACCATAATAACAACCACATCGGTGACAACACAGACACCAAAAACCCAAAAGCGAGTGACAATAATGGAACCCACCACAAATCATACATTTGATCCATTACTGCCAACAATGGTGGCATTGGCGGGAGCCAATGCTTCTAACAACAGCTCAAATTTACAACAGCAGCAACAACAGCAGCACCCTACACCCATAATAACAATAACAACCAATTCAGCACAGACACAAGAGGAAAAGGCCTGCAAGACTCAAGACAGTAAAGATGATAACGAAGATCCAAGAGGTATGTTGGATCGTATTACCCACGATCTAAATTATCTGTTAAATGGTGCTGAAGATGATCAAATACCACCACCACCCAGACCTCCAATGGGTACCATACCCTCTGCGGATTTGGCCAATGCGGAAGTAATATTTAAAACAGATGAACTGTAAGTGCTTGACAGACGGAAGTGAGAAAATCAAAATGTGAAATCATAAACAAAAACACAGGGTTAGTTAGGTGTAAAAATTTTGCAAAAATAAAAGGTTGTTAAGTGTAAATATTTACCTAAAGTTATAGTTAAAATAATGATAAACATAGTTAATGAAATAATTAAATAAATAACTAATGATTTCTTCAACATTTGCTTAATATATATAATATTGATGGCTCAACGTCGAATATCAAAAATACATGATCATGTTTAAATATTAAAATTTGTATAATAAAAATTAATTAATATTAAATTAACATATTTTCTTTTTTAGTAATAGATTTACATATGTAATAGAAAATACTCAACAAAAAAACTTTTCCTTAAGGCAGCTAAATATTTGTAAATAGAAAATCTCGAAATAGTTAAAAATATCTTAAAAAGGCTCTACAGTAAAATGAAGTAGTTTAACTATGGTTCAGTAATTGTTCAGTTCCAGTTTAGTTATAGTTTAGTCCTAGATCAGTTGTAGTTCTGTTCTAGTTCTGTTCTAGTTCTATTCTAGTTCTGTTCTAGTTCTATTCTAGTTCTGTTCTAGTTCTGTTCTAGTTCTGTTCTAGTTCTGTTCTAGTTCTGTTCTAGTTCTGTTCTAGTTCTGTTCTAGTTCTGTTCTAGTTCTGTTCTAGTTCTGTTCTGTTGTAGTTCTGTTCTAGTTCTGTTCTAGTTCTGTTTCTAGTTCTGTTCTAGTTCTGTTCTGTTCTGTTCTAGTTCTGTTCTAGTTCTGTTCTAGTTCTGTTCTAGTTCTGTTCTAGTTATTTTCTAGTTATTTTCTAGTTCTGTTCTAGTTCTGTTCTAGTTCTGTTCTAGTTCTGTTCTAGTTCTGTTCTAGTTATTTTCTAGTTCTGTTCTAGTTCTGTTCTAGTTCTGCTCTAGTTCTGTTCTAGTTCTGTTCTAGATCTGTTTCTAGTTCTGTTCTAGTTCTGTTCTAGTTATTTTCTAGTTCTGTTCTAGTTCTGTTCTAGTTCTGTTCTAGTTCTGTTCTAGTTCTGTTCTAGTTCTGTTCTAGTTCTGTTCTAGTTCTGTTCTAGTTCTGTTCTAGTTCTGTTCTAGTTCTGTTCTAGTTCTGTTCTAGTTATTTTCTAGTTATTTTCTAGTTCTGTTCTAGTTCTGTTCTAGTTGTTCTAGTTCTGTTCTAGTTCTTTTCTAGTTCTGTTCTAGTTCTGTTCTAGTTCTGCTCTAGTTCTGTTCTAGTTCTGTTCTAGTCTGTTCTAGTTCTGTTCTAGTTCTGTTCTAGTTCTGTTCTAGTTCTGTTCTAGTTCTGTTCTAGTTCTGTCTAGTTCTGTTCTGTTCTGTTCTAGTTCTGTTCTAGTTCTGTTCTAGTTCTGTTCTAGTTCTGTTCTAGTTCTGTTCTAGTTCTGTTCTAGTTCTAGTCTGTTCTAGTTCTGTTCTATTTCTGTTCTAGTTCTGTTCTAGTTCTGTTCTAGTTCTGTTCTAGTTCTGTTCTAGTTCTGTTCTAGTTCTGTTCTAGTTCTCTGTTCTAGTTCTGTTCTAGTTCTGTTCTAGTTTTTCTTTCTAGTTCTTTTCTAGTTCTGTTCTAGTTCTGTTCTAGTTCTGTTCTAGTTCTGTTCTAGTTATTTTCTAGTTCTGTTCTAGTTCTGTTCTAGTTCTGTCTAGTTCTGTTCTAGTTCTGTTCTAGTTCTGTTCTAGTTCTGTTCTAGTTCTGTTCTAGTCTGTTCTAGTTCTGTTCTAGTTCTGTTCTAGTTCTGTTCTAGTTCTGTTCTAGTTCTGTTCTAGTTCTGTTCTAGTTCTGTTCTAGTTCTGTTCTAGTTCTGTTCTGTTCTAGTTCTGTTCTAGTTCTGTTCTAGTTCTGTTCTAGTTCTGTTCTGTTCTAGTTCTGTTCTAGTTCTGTTCTAGTTCTGTTCTAGTTCTGTTCTAGTCTGTTCTAGTTCTGTTCTATTCTGTTCTAGTTCTGTTCTAGTTCTGTTCTAGTTCTTTTCTAGTTCTGTTCTAGTTCTGTTCTAGTTCTGTTCTAGTTCTGTTCTAGTTCTGTTCTAGTTCTGTTCTAGTTCTGTTCTAGTTCTGTTCTAGTTCTGTTCTAGTTCTGTTCTAGTTCTGTTCTAGTTCTGTTCTAGTTCTGTTCTAGTTCTGTTCTAGTTCTGTTCTAGTTCTGTTCTAGTTCTGTTCTAGTTCTGTTCTAGTTCTGTTCTGTTGTTCTGTTTTAGTTCTGTTCTAGTTTGTTCTAGTTCTGTTCTAGTTCTGTTCTAGTTTCTGTTCTAGTTCTGTTCTAGTTCTGTTCTAGTTCTGTTCTAGTTCTGTTCTAGTTCTGTCTAGTTCTGTTAGTTCTGTTCTAGTTCTGTTCTAGTTCTGTTCTAGTTCTGTTCTAGTTCTGTTCTAGTTCTGTTCTAGTTCTGTTCTAGTTCTGTTCTGTTCTGTTCTTTCTGTTCTAGTTCTTTCTAGTTCTGTTCTAGTTCTGTTCTAGTTCTGTTCTAGTTCTGTTCTAGTTCTGTTCTAGTTCTGTTCTAGTTCTGTTCTAGTTCTGTTCTAGTTCTGTTCTAGTTCTGTTCTAGTTCTGTTCTAGTTCTGTTCTAGTTCTGTTCTAGTTCTGTTCTAGTTCTGTTCTAGTTCTGTTCTAGTTCTGTTCTAGTTCTGTTCTAGTTCTGTTCTAGTTCTGTTCTAGTTCTGTTCTAGTTCTGTTCTAGTTCTGTTCTAGTTCTGTTCTAGTTCTGTTCTAGTTCTGTTCTAGTTCTGTTCTAGTTCTGTTCTAGTTCTGTTCTAGTTCTGTTCTAGTTCTTTCTAGTTCTGTTCTAGTTCTGTTCTAGTTCTATTCTAGTTCTAGTTCTGTTCTAGTTCTGTTCTAGTTCTGTTCTAGTTCTGTTCTAGTTCTAGTTCGTTCTAGTTCTGTTCTAGTTCTGTTCTAGTTCTGTTCTAGTTCTGTTCTAGTTGTGTTCTAGTTGTTCTAGTTCTGTTCTAGTTCTGTTCTAGTTCTGTTCTAGTTCTGTTCTAGTTGTGTTCTAGTTGTGTTCTAGTTCTGTAGTTGTTCTAGTTCTGTTCTAGTTCTATTCTAGTTCTGTTCTAGTTCTGTTCTAGTTCTGTTCTAGTTCTGTTCTTGTTCTGTTCTAGTTCTGTTCTAGTTCTGTTCTAGTTCTGTTCTAGTTCTGTTTAGTCTGTTCTAGTTCTGTTCTAGTTCTGTTCTAGTTCTGTTCTAGTTCTGTTCTAGTTCTGTTCTAGTTCTGTTCTAGTTCTGTTCTAGTTCTGTTCTAGTTCTGTTCTAGTTCTGTTCTAGTTCTGTTCTAGTTCTGTTCTAGTTCTGTTCTAGTTCTGTTCTAGTTCTGTTCTAGTTCTGTTCTAGTTCTGTTCTAGTTCTGTTCTAGTTCTGTTTCTAGTTCTGTTCTAGTTCTGTTCTAGTTCTGTTCTAGTTCTGTTCTAGTTCTGTTCTAGTTCTGTTCTAGTTCTGTTCTAGTTCTGTTCTAGTTCTGTTCTAGTTCTAGTTCTGTTCTAGTTCTGTTCTAGTTCTGTTCTAGTTCTGTTCTAGTTCTGTTCTAGTTCTGTTCTAGTTCTGTTCTAGTTCTGTTCTAGTTCTGTTCTAGTTCTGTTCTAGTTCTGTTCTAGTTCTGTTCTAGTTCTGTTCTAGTTCTGTTCTAGTTCTGTTCTCGTTCTGTTCTAGTTCTGTTCTAGTTCTGTTCTAGTTCTGTTTAGTTCTGTTTAGTTCTGTTCTAGTTCTGTTCTAGTTCTGTTCTAGTTCTGTTCTAGTTCTGTTTTAGTTCTGTTCTAGTTCTGTTCTAGTTCTGTTCTAGTTCTGTTCTAGTTCTGTTCTAGTTCTGTTCTAGTTCTGTTCTAGTTCTGTTCTAGTTCTGTTCTAGTTCTGTTCTAGTTCTGTTCTAGTTCTGTTCTAGTTGTTCTAGTTCTGTTCTAGTTCTGTTCTAGTTCTGTTCTAGTTCTGTTCTAGTTCTGTTAGTTCTGTTCTAGTTCTGTTCTAGTTCTGTTCTATTCTGTTTCTAGTTTTCTAGTTCTGTTCTAGTTCTGTTTCTTCGAAGTTCGGTTTCTATTATTTTCTTGTTCAGTTATAGTTCTAGTTCTAATTCGTTTCTGTTTTTATAACTGTAGAGCTTTTTTAACTTAAGTAGTCGTTTAAGTGTAATAGTTCAATTTGTTACCAAAAACGGTGTGTTATCAATCACAAAAAATATTAACAAAAATAATTAAAATTTATAATTAAACTACCATAAAACTATGTAAATATTAAACATTACTTAACTAATAACTTAAAAAAAGAATTTATGTAAATTAAATACAAACTTAACAAAATAAATGTTAAATAATAATTATTCCTAAAATGAAACTTAAAAGAAATTAGTTTTTAAAGAAAATTAATTCAATAAAAAAAACTTGTATAATTATAAATTAATTAATGAATAACTTAAATAAAACACTCTTTAACTTTAAACAACATTTTTGAAATATTTTAAAAAGAATTAATAATTAAATTAAAAAAAATAAATAAATAAACAATTTTCAAGAATCTTTGTTATAAAAAAATCCGTTGTTTTTATTAAAATAATTAATGGAAATTGAAAGGGTAAGTAGTAGTTTTGACAAAATTGAGAAATTATAAGGAAAAGGTTCAACTTGTTTACCGGTAGTTCTGTAGACGTTAATATTCATTAAAATATACGCAAGTAAAATGATAATACAGTGTCAATGGCACTGTGTTACCTTAAATTTTATTATTAAAGAATACAAATTTCCACATTTTCATTATAAAAATCCAGTTTAAAATGCAGTTTTTATTAACTTTTTTGTAACAATTAATTATAATAAATTATTAACAGTAAGAGGGTGATAAATTAAAACAAAATAATAAATATTACAACAAATTAAAAGCGGGAAAATGGGAAGCACCGGTTTGTTTTGTCACTTAAAACTAAAAGTACCTTAAAAGGGTTCAACATTGAACTTAACCCTTAAAAGGGTTTTTAAAATTGCTTGACATGTCCCACGAAAAATGTGGCCTCTCTATTGCGTATAGCACAAAAAAGAAGGGTGATCGGCCCGAAAGAATTTTGTCGTGTGTCTATGGAATTGCTTATAACAATGGTTTAGAGGGCTGTAGAAAAAAGAACACAAAATAATTACAATTATTGAAAGAGGAAACATTTAAAGCTAAAATACCTTCAACTTTGGCGGCTTCCGAACCCGATTCATTGACCTCTATACTAGCCTTATGCCAAATATCGCTAAAGGGTAAAGCAGTAGAGCTAGTATTGGCCGCTAATAGATTTTTAAAATTGGGACTCTTCACTAAACATTAAGTTGAAAACCCATCTACAGAACAAAAACTTCACATTTTATACTTTTTTCATAGTTATACTTGTCCACTTACCTGTTCCATCACCCGCCTTAAACTGCATTCGAAATCAATTTTGAATTTGGGCAACAACAATTGTACACTTTCCATTTGCATTTGTTCGGTTAACATTTGAAAATTTAAATCATTTATTTCAATTCCAATTCCTTCAAACCATCACGTTTATTGGGCAAAATCAATAACATCGACAGTTCATCATCGTGTTCATACGGCAATTCCACTACTCGGGCATCCAATTCTTTAAGTTCTACAAACTTGCACATCATTTCATTGTCCAACATCATGGGTATAGATTTGATACAATCTGCTGCTATATGGAAATCATATAAACCCGAGCGATAAGCACTAAACGGTAAAACCATTTATTTTGAAATTTGCCGCCAACAACAACAAAGCCAAGGCATTATCTTTTAAACTTATATCTGCTACACTCTTTTTAAACATTTCTCCACTGCAGTTCTTATAACTTTTAACACTTCTTCCCGATTTTCAAATTTAACTAAATCGGTTAAAGTTAAAAAGTAATTTCAGCAATGTTCTTAAATTGTGCATCCACTTCATAACTGTCATTGATAAGAATCTGGAACATATTTCCAATTGGTGTCTATTGAGTCTTGTGTTACTATGGCTAAATGCCGGCAAAATAATTGGCCATTTTGCCATTATTGGAAAACGATGGAGTTGTAGTTTAGCCTTTAATTCTTCTGCGGTTTTTCCATCAGATCCTAAATAAACTAGGGAGAGAAGAGCCTCCAGCAAAAAAGGTGATATGCAGATATTGCCTTCAGCAGCAGTTTCCGATGTTTGCCAGATTTGTAAATACTTCTAAGCCGAAATTTGTTTCATAGCTGTTGTTGTTTGAAGAGTCCATTTGATTTTGGCAAGATTATCTGCAATATAGATATTAAATTAAATATTTCGGAATATACCTTATATTTAGTTCTGTTCTAGTTCAGTTCTAGTTCAGTTCTAGTTCAGTTCTAGTTCAGTACTAGTTCAGTTCTAGTTCAGTTCTAGTTCAGTTCTAGTTCTGTTCTAGTATTTTTCCAGTTCTGTTCTAGTTCTGTTCTAGTTCAGTTCTAGTTCAGTTCTAATTCAGTTCTAGTTCAGTTCTAGTTCAGTTCTAGTTCAGTTCTAGTTCAGTTCTAGTTCAGTTCTAGTTCAGTTCTAGTTCAGTTCTGATTCAGTTCTAGTTCAGTTCTAGTTAAGTTCTAGTTCAGTTCTAGTTCAGTACTAGTTCAGTTCTAGCTCAGTTCAGTTCTAGTTCTGTTCTAATTCTGTTCTAGTTCTGTTCTAGTTCTGTTCTAGTTCTGTTCTAGTTCTGTTCTAGTTCTGTTCTAGTTCTGTTCTAGTTCTGATCTAGTTCTGTTCTAGTTCTGTTCTAGTCCTGTTCTAGTTCTGTTCTAGTTCTGTTCTAGTTCTGTTTCTAGTTCTGTTCTAGTTCTGTTCTAGTTCTGTTCTAGTTCTGTTCTAGTTCTGTTCTAGTTCTGTTCTAGTTCTGTTCTAGTTCTGTTCTAGTTCTGTTCTACTTCTGTTCTAGTTCTGTTCTAGTTCTAGTTCTGTTCTAGTTCTGTTCTAGTTCTGTTCTAATTCTGTTCTAGTTCTTTCTAGTTCTGTTCTAGTCTGTCTAGTTCTGTTCTAGTTCTGTTCTAGTTCTGTTCTAGTTCTGTTCTAGTTCTGTTCTAGTTCTGTTCTAGTTCTGTTCTAGTTCTGTTCTAGTTCTGTTCTAGTTCTATTCTAGTTCTGTTCTAGTTCTGTTCTACTTCTGTTCTAGTTTGTTCTAGTCTGCTCTAGTTCTGTTCTAGTTCTGTTCCAGTTCTGTTCTAGTTCTGTTCTAGTTCTGTTCTAGTTCTGTTCTAGTTCTGTTCTAGTTCTGTTCTAGTTCTGTTCTAGTTCTGTTCTAGTTCTGTTCTAGTTCTGTTCTAGTTCTGTTCTAGTTCTGTTCTAGTTCTGTTCTAGTTCTGTTCTAGTTCTGTTCTAGTTCTGTTCTAGTTCTGTTCTAGTTCTGTTCTAGTTCTGTTCTAGTTCTGTTCTAGTTCTGTTCTAGTTCTGTTCTAGTTCTGTTCTAGTTCTGTTCTAGTTTGTTCTAGTTTGTTCTAGTTCTGTTCTAGTTCTGTTCTAGTTCTGTTCTAGTTCTGTTCTAGTTCTGTTCTAGTTCTGTTCTAGTTGTTCTAGTTCTGTTCTAGTTCTGTTCTAGTTCTGTTTAGTTCTGTTTTAGTTCTGTTCTAGTTCTGTCTAGTTCAGTTCTAGTTCAGTTCTAGTTCAGTCTAGTTCGTTCTAGTTCTGTTCTAGTCTGTTCTAGTCTGTTCTAGTTCTGTTCTAGTTCTGTTCTAGTTCTGTTCTAGTTCTGTTCTAGTTCTTTCTAGTTCTGTTCTAGTTCTTTTCTAGTTCTGTTCTAGTTCTGTTCTAGTTCTGTTCTAGTTCTGTTCTAGTTCTGTTCTAGTTCTGTTCTAGTTCTGTTCTAGTTCTGTTCTAGTTCTGTTCTAGTTCTGTTCTAGTTCTGTTCTAGTTCTGTTCTAGTTCTGTTCTAGTTCTGTTCTAGTTCTGTTCTAGTTCTGTTCTGTAGTCTGTTCTAGTTCTGTTCTAGTTCTGTTCTAGTTCTGTTCTAGTTTTGTTCTAGTTCTGTTCTAGTTCTGTTCTAGTTCTGTTCTAGTTCTGTTCTAGTTCTGTTTTTCTGTTCTAGTCTGTTCTAGTTCTGTTCTAGTTCTGTTCTAGTTCTGTTCTAGTTCTGTTCTAGTTTCAGTTCTAGTTCTGTTCTAGTTCTTTCTAGTTCTGTTCTAGTTCTGTTCTAGTTCTGTTCTAGTTCTGTTCTAGTTCTGTTCTAGTTCTGTTCTAGTTTTTCTAGTTCTGTTCTAGTTCTGTTCTACTTCTGTTCTAGTTCTGTTCTAGTTCTGTCTAGTTCTGTTCTAGTTCTGTTCTAGTTCTGTTCTAGTTCTGTTCTGTTTTGTTCTTTTCTAGTTCTGTTCTAGTTCTGTTCTAGTTCTGTTCTAGTTCTGTTCTAGTTCTGTTCTAGTTCTGTTCTAGTTCTGTTCTAGTTCTGTTCTAGTTCTGTTCTAGTTCTAGTTCTGTTCTAGTTCTGTTCTAGTTCTAGTTCTGTTCTAGTTCTGTTCTAGTTCTGTTCTAGTTCTGTTCTAGTTCTGTTCTAGTTCTGTTCTAGTTCTGTTCTAGTTCTGTTCTAGTTCTGTTCTAGTTCTGTTCTAGTTCTGTTCTAGTTCTGTTCTAGTTCTGTTCTAGTTCTGTTCTAGTTCTGTTCAGTTCTGTTCTAGTTCTGTTCTAGTTCTGTTTTAGTTCTGTTCTGTTCTAGTTCTGTTCTAGTTCTGTTCTAGTTCTGTTCTAGTTCTGTTCTAGTTCTGTTCTAGTTCTGTTCTAGTTCTGTTCTAGTTCTGTTCTAGTTCTTTCTAGTTCTGTTCTAGTTTGTTCTAGTTCTGTTCTGTTTTAGTTTTTCTAGTTCTGTTTTTACTTCGTTTAGTTCTAGTTGTTTCAGTTCTGTTCTAGTTCTTCTAGTTCTTTCTAGTTCAGTTCTAGTTTGTTCTAGTTCTTTCTAGTTCTGTTCTAGTTTGTTCTAGTTCTGTTCTGTTCTAGTTCTGTTCTAGTTCTGTTCTAGTTCTGTTCTAGTTCTGTTCTAGTTCTGTTCTAGTTCTGTTCTAGTTCTGTTCTAGTTCTGTTCTAGTTCTGTTCTAGTTCTGTTCTAGTTCTGTTCTAGTTCTGTTCTGTTCTGTTCTAGTTCTGTTCTAGTTCTGTTCTAGTTCTGTTCTAGTTCTGTTCTAGTTCTGTTAGTTCTGTTCTAGTTCTGTTCTAGTTCTGTTCTAGTTTGTTCTAGTTCTGTTCTAGTTCTGTTCTAGTTCTGTTCTAGTTCTGTTCTAGTTCTGTTCTAGTTCTGTTCTAGTTCTGTTCTAGTTCTGTTCTAGTTCTGTTCTAGTTCTGTTCTAGTTCTTTCTAGTTCTGTTCTAGTTTCTAGTTCTGTTCTAGTTTGTTCTAGTTCGTTCTAGTTCTGTTCTAGTTCTGTTCTAGTTCTGTTCTAGTTCTGCTCTAGTTCTGTTCTAGTTCTGTTCTAGTTCTGTTCTAGTTCTGTTCTAGTTCTGTTCTAGTTCTGTTCTAGTTCTGTTCTAGTTCTGTTCTAGTTCTGTTCTAGTTCTGTTCTAGTTCAGTTCTAGTTCAGTTTCTAGTTCTGTTCTAGTTCTGTTCTAGTTCTGTTCTGTTCGAGTTCTGTTCTAGCTCTGTTCTAGCTCTGTTCTAGTTCAGTTCTAGTTCAGTTCTAGTTCTATTTCAAGTTTAGTTGTTATTCAGAGTACTCTGACACACTTTTAAATTTTGTATTTCTATAATATTGATCTTTTTTAACAATTCAGTTAAAAAAATTTGAATTGCTTATGGTTTTTATAATTAACCACTTTGTATTAACATATTTGTTTATAAATTTATTTTTTATTTTAATAAAATTTTTATATTTTATTACTCAACACACTTTGTATTAAACCAACTTTTGAACACTACTAACAGAATGTTTACTGATTTTTATCATATTTATTCACTTTGTTTAAAAATATGTATTTTAACAATTTTTTTTTTGTTTTGGTTTATTTATAATTTTGAAAAATTTTTTAAAAGATTTTTTTATTGGGTTTATAAACAATTTGGGAAACACGTCAATAAACATTTACTGTTTGTTTCTTTTTGACAGATTTGTTTTCATTTTTGAAAATATATATAGTATTTTGCATTTTTAAATTGATTTAAAAAATACCAACTGCCTAAATCACTTGCAATTAAAAACTAGTAATTTTTAGATTTTCACAAAACACAAGTAGAAAAAAATCAGAAATAAGTGAACTGTAGAAAAAGCTGTATGGAAATGGGAAACTATATAAATAATGAATGATGTGGGCGATTTTTGAATTTGAAAAACGTTTTAAAATTTTTTTCGAATTTTTTGTTTTAAACAAAACAAAAACATTAAATTACATCACAAGTATTTTAAAATTTTTCTAAACACATTTGTTATTTGTTGATTTTATTATTAAAATATTAACAAAATTAAAAAATAATTTCAAATTTGCTGCTTTTGTAGTTCTTTACATTATTTTATGTATTAAATAAAATTTTCCAAATTTTCTACCTCGTTTTCTTTTTTTTTTAATAAATATTTTTTCAAAATTTTTCTGCGTTTAGTTACTAAAACGTTTTAATCTCTGCGAAATCTAAATGAAAACTGAAAATATCATAAAAAAAGTTTAGAAAATTTGTTCTCCCTCATTTATTTTAGATTTTTTTTTACTCGTCTTTTTAATATTTTTGTTGAAAGAATATCAACAGAATGTGTACAACATTTATTCGTTATTATATACAAAAAAACATAAATTCGCATTATTGTTGTTGTTATTGTATTTCAGTTTTATCTATTTATATTGCATTTTCATTTTTAATAGTTTATTTTTCTCTATTTCTCTCTTATCTCTTTTAGTAAATTTATTTTATCTTTTCACATCTCTTGTTTATTTGAGAATTATATATTATAATCTTTATAGAATCTTAATATAATTTTCTTTTTACCGGCATCAAGAATTTTGCGTGATGACGTCATATTATATTGTTTATATGAGCATTAGTTTAAAATTTGAGAGTAAGTATGCGATCATGCTGATCATTTGTGTGTAGGTATGTAATTCCACTTAAATTGTTCTTACTAATCTGGAGCATTGGGTAAATAGTGGAAAATATAATAATAAATCTTTTATGATATGTAACGAATTTTAGACACGCTTTTTTAGAAAAAGTTGAGAAATTACGAAATCTCAAACAAAACTTTTTTAAAATCAAGTTTTTCCCGGTTCAATTCTAGTGCAGTTGTAGTTCAGTTCTAGTTCAGTTGTAGTTCAGTTTTAGTTCAGTTGTAGTTCAGTTGTAGTTCAGTTGTAGTTCAGTTTTAGTTCAGTTGTAGTTCAGTTGTAGTTCAGTTCTAGTTCAGTTCTAGTTCAGTTCTAGTTCAGTTCTAGTTCAGTTCTAGTTCAGTTCTAGTTCAGTTCTAGTTCAGTTCTAGTTCAATTCTAGTTCAGTTCTAGTTCAGTTCTAGTTCAGTTCTAGTTCAGTTCTAGTCGTCAGTTCAGTTCCAGTTCTAGTTCAGTTCTAGTTCAGTTCCAGTTCAGTTCTAGTTCAGTTCTAGTTCAGTTCTAGTTCAGTTCTAGTTCAATTCTAGTTCAGTTCTAGTTCAGTTCTAGTTCAGTTCTAGTTCAGTTCCAGTTCAGTTCTAGTTCAGTTCTAGTTCAGTTTTAATTCAGTTCTAGTTCAGTTCTAGTTCAGTTCTAGTTCAGTTCTAGTTCAGTTCTAGTTCAGTTCTAGTTCAGTTCTAGTTCAGTTCTAGTTCAGTTCTAGTTCAGTTCTAGTTCAGTTCTAGTTCAGTTGTAGTTCAGTTGTAGTTCAGTTGTAGTTCAGCTGTAGTTCAGTTCTAGTTCAGTTCTAGTTCAGTTCTAGTTCAGTTCTAGTTCAGTTCTAGTTCAGTTTTAGTTCAGTTCTAGTTCAGTTCTAGTTCAGTTCTAGTTCAGTTCTAGTTCAGTTGCAGTTTAGTTCTAGTTCAGTTCTAGTTCAGTTCTTCGAAATCTCAAACAAAACATTTTTAAAATCAAGTTTTTCCCGGTTCTATTCTAGTGCAGTTGTAGCTCAGTTCTAGTTCAGTTTTAGTTCAGTTGTAGTTCAGTTGTAGTTCAGTTGTAGTTCAGTTCTAGTTCAGTTCTAGTTCAGTTGCAGTTTAGTTCTAGTTCAGTTCTAGTTCAGTTCTAGTTCAGTTCTAGTTCAGTTCTAGTTCAGTTCTAGTTCAGTTCTAGTTCAGTTCTAGTTCAGTTCTAGTTCAGTTCTAGTTCAGTTCTAGTTCAATTCTAGTTCAGTTCTAGTTCAGTTCTAGTTCAGTTCTAGTTCAGTTCTAGTTCAGTTCCAGTTCAGTTCTAGTTCAGTTCTAGTTCAGTTTTAATTCAGTTCTAGTTCAGTTCTAGTTCAGTTCTAGTTCAGTTCTAGTTCAGTTCTAGTTCAGTTGCAGTTAGTTCTAGTTCAGTTCTAGTTCAGTTAGTCTAGTTCAGTTCTAGTTCAGTTCTAGTTCAGTTCTAGTTCAGTTGCAGTTTAGTTCTAGTTCAGTTCTAGTTTCAGTTCTTCGAAATCTCAAACAAAACATTTTTAAAATCAAGTTTTTCCCGGTTCTATTCTAGTGCAGTTGTAGCTCAGTTCTAGTTCAGTTTTAGTTCAGTTGTAGTTCAGTTGTAGTTCAGTTGTAGTTCAGTTCTAGTTCAGTTCTAGTTCAGTTGCAGTTTAGTTCTAGTTCAGTTCTAGTTCAGTTCTAGTTCAGTTCTAGTTCAGTTCTAGTTCAGTTCTAGTTCAGTTCTAGTTCAGTTCTAGTTCAGTTCTAGTTCAGTTCTAGTTCAGTTCTAGTTTCAGTTCTAGTTCAGTTCTAGTTCAGTTCTAGTTCAGTTCTAGTTCAGTTCTAGTTCAGTTCTAGTTCAGTTCTAGTTCAGTTCTAGTTCAGTTCTAGTTCAGTTCTAGTTCTAGTTCAGTTCTAGTTCAGCTCTATTTCAGTTCTAGTTCAGTTCTATTTCAGTTCTAGTTCAGTTCTATTTCAGTTCTAGTTCAGTTATAGTTCAGTCATAGTTCAGTTATAGTTTAGTTATATAGTTCAGCTTATTTATAGTTATAGTTTAGTTTAGTTAAAGTTAAAGTTCAGTTCTAGTTCAGTTCTAGTTCTAGTTCAGTTCTAGTTCAGTTCAAGTTCAGTTCTAGTTCAGTTCTAGTTCTAGTTCAGTTCTAGTTCAGTTCTAGTTCAGTTCTAGTTCAGTTCTAGTTCAGTTCTAGTTCAGTTCTAGTTCAGTTCTAGTTCAGTTCTAGTTCAGTTCTAGTTCAGTTCTAGTTCGGTTCTAGTTCTGTTCTAGTTCTGTTCTAGCTCTGTTCTGGTTCTGTTCTAGTTCTGTTCTAGTTCTGTTCTGTTCTAGTTCTGTTCTAGTTCTGTTCTAGTTCAGTTCTAGTTCAGTTCTAGTTCAGTTCTAGTTCAGTTCTAGTTCAGTTCTAGTTCAGTTCTAGTTCAGTTCTAGTTCAGTTCAGTTCTAGTTCAGTTTCAAGTTCAGTTCTAGTTCAGTTCTAGTTCAGTTCTAGTTCAGTTCTAGTTCAAGTTCAGTTTTAGTTCAGTTTTAGGTTCAGTTCTAGTTCAGTTCTAGTTCAGTTCTAGTTCTGTTCAGTTCTAGTTCAGTGCTAGTTCAGTTCTAGTTCAGTTCTAGTTCAGTTCTAGTTCAGTTCTAGTTCAGTTCTAGTTTAGTTCTAGTTCATTTCTGGCACAGTTCGGTTTTAGTTCTGCTCTAGTTCTGTTCTAGTTGTGTCCTAGTACTGTTCTAGTTGTGTCCAAGTTCTGTTCTAGTTGTTCTAGTTCTGTTCTAGTTCAATTCTTGTCAAGTTCTGCAATTGTAGTCCGGTTTAGTTGAGTTCCTTTCTGATTAACACATGTTAGAATATGTATTATAGACTAACATTCTTAAACCACCTATTATAGCGTATCATAATTATTTTATGTTCAATTTCAATATATTTTCAAAACGACTGCCATAATGATCACTCATTCATTCATACCAATCATTTGATATTAGACAGACATTAAGACAATTTTTGCTCTATATATTTGAAGAAAAATACATAAAATTTTTTATTATTATTGAGGAAAAAAAACAAAACTAAATAAGGCACAAACAATTAGTTAAAAATGTTGTAGAGGAAACTTTTAATACAGATGTTTAAAAACTAATTTACAGAAAGCAAATTAGTAATGTTTCAACAAGGGGTGATTTCATATTAAATATTAACAACACAGCAGCAGTATGTGATGTATTTAAACTAAATAATAAAAAAAAAAAAAACAGAATTTTTAGCAGCCCAATGTTGCAATTTAATTATTGAGTTGTAAAAAAAAGACCGCCTCATAATTTGCCATTATGTAGTCAAGTTTTCTAAATATGATTTGAAAAAAAAAAATTACCATTCATTGTATATATTAAAGAGAACTATTGTTATAACATGACACACCAAATTGATGTGTTTATGATTTGTAGGCAGGGAGGCATGTTTATTATATAGAATGGTTGGGTTAGGAACGCTATAGTAAGTACTATGGAAATACTTAATAGACTACCATAATATGAATTATGTTTTGAATAGAATTGAGGATTTTGAATCCAAAATTATATATTTCTTGCTTTTCTTTTTGATATACTTTATTAAGAACAATAATTGATAGCTGGTTTGTAGATGATTTGCTGTAGGTTTGCAACAGAAAACTGCAATGTGCAACAACATAACTGCTTACTCATCACTTATTTTTCAAACACAACACTTTCAAAATTAATATTTTTTTTAAAAAATCATGTTTAATACTTAAATATAAAACTTTTACTTTTCTTATATAAAAAAAATGGCATAATACAAATTTGAAATTTATTAAAAAGGAGAAAATACCTTTAAAAAAATTCTAGGAATTTTAGGTGGGAGATTTCTAAAGTTACTCTTCGATTCTACACAAACATTACTTTTCAGCCTATAAAATTTTG